ATCGCATGCGATCCTTACTCTCGAATTGCGCAGAGTATTTCTTCAACGTTTTCTTTATTTCCTTTTGTTTTTCAACGCTGAGAAGTGTCGGAGGTCTCGGTCGCCACAAGAATTGGCAAAAGTTGTCCAAGTAAACTAATTTTAAAAGTTTGCCTTGAAAAGACCATATTCTATATCCGGTATCGACCTAACATAAAAATACAATTAATTTAATAATTTCATTACCACACACCTTGTCAAAAGGTTCAAGTGAATACCTTTGTTTTCCAAAGGGAAATTGCCGTGACAACGTATCTACCAGTCGGATCCCATTCCACGTCAGAACACTGGTAATGATCCGTCACGTTCATGGACGTAAAATCATTTGTGTCTATGAATTCAAGAACTCCGGACATGTTATTTCGAAGTCCTGCTAAAACTATAAATTGTCCAATGGGTGCCCAAAACAAATGATTGCAATTTCTTTTTTCAAATCTCTCTGAAAGTTTTAAATTTAAACGCTTCATTAACTCGCATGCACTACAAAAAATTTATTGTAAACAAAAGAAAGTTTTTTTTTTTTTTTGGTAAAACTTACTCAATAAAGTAGGAGCCTGACCCGTTTTAACGCCGTAAAAACTGACATTAATGTTGGGTGCATCCCCGTGTATGATGGCAAATTTATTACCGACGGGTTCCCAAGCAAATGCATGTATTGTTTCTTTTATTTCTACGCTGTCAACCGGAATTTGCTTTCCTCTCATGTGAAAAATTTCAAAATTGTAATACATGCCCTGATAAAATTTAAAAAAAAAAAAAATTAAAATGTTTCTACGTAAATGAGTTTTTATTTTAATGAGTAATCGTAAAACTTACGCTGTACTTCACATCGTTCTTTTCCTTTTTCACTTTCGAATACCTATCGACTTTAACGCAAAGGTAGTCACCAGATTTTTGCCAATGTATTTTACAATCGGCAACGTTAAATAAATTTTTAGGTCGTATTTCATTACGGCTGTAAATTTTAAAAAATATTAAAAAAATCGAATTGGAAAAATAAAATAATAATTATTATGTAATTTATAAAAAAGTACCTTGGAATTTCCAAAAGCGTTACCCTCGCGGGTACATCTTTATTTTCCGCCACCCAATAAGCTAATACATTATCTGATGGTGACCAACTAAAATCTCTTATACCGGGAATTTTGAAACTTCTTTTGTCTAATAAACCAAAAGTCTGAAAAAAATTTTTTATGTAAAACATCTTTTGATTCATTTTAAAATATCAAAAATCGAATGAAAACATCACAGGTGATGGTCAGAAAAGATTAAGCCTTAAAAAATCTTCACTAATAAAATACAGATTTTTAAGTTTATCATCATGAAAAAAATTTAAATTTAAATTTAAATTAAAAAAAAAAAAAAAATTGATTAAATAAGTACCGGTGTAGTGTAAACACTGAGAACATCACCAACGATTCTTGCAAAATACTGGTCGTTATAAGACCACCTAAATATAGGCCATAAATTTTGACCGCTTTCCATTGGAAAAGATCGTTGCTCCACCCCGGTTCTGATGTCCCAAATAATTAAAGCCTTTTGCTCAGAATTTAATTCAGGGGACGGTGGTGAATATGTTACTAAATATTTTTCACACGGGGAAAAGTCAATAAATTGAACGTTCATGTGGCTAAACCTTTGAACTTGTTCAAATGTTGGTCCTCCCCACAAAGCCAATCCCTTTCGATGAAAAGTTGCCAAATAAGAACCCAATGGAGACCACTTGCAATAAGTTTCAGTCCATCTCTGAAAAAAATTGTTATATTTAATTGTAAACATTTTTTACTTTTTCAATGTATATCATTTATTATAAAGAAATTGCAATTTCGCATGTATTTTAAGATTATAGTTCTAATAACTGTATATTTGTTTATGTAAAAGCACTGATGTAAATAATAAATTAACATAAATGGTAATTGAAAGTGTTAAAAAAAAATGATATTGAAAAAAAACTTACATTTCTTTCCTCGATTTTAGTCGGTTCCGGAGCAGTATTCAGCCATATTTGTAACGCTTGCCCATTACCAATTGTTACGACAAACTGATCATAAGCATCTGGATCCAAAAGATAGTAATGTAAATTTCCCTGTTCTTTATATTTACTAGGTGCAGGGGGTTCCCAATTTTCAGAAATTTCTTCGCATTTTTTAAAATCAGTAAATAAATTTACTAAAAATGTGTGCTGCTTATCTAATTTATGATTATTTGTTAACTTGACTGCTTCCAAGGCATGTAGAGGAGAAGAGTACTCAATAAATACATAACTGAAAAAAAAAAAACAATTAAATAAAAATTTCCACTTAAAAAACTTTAAATAAATAAATGAAATTTAAAAAGCGAAGTCAGTCACTAATATAAAAATTGACAAAATTCATTAAACAAGCTAGGATTTACAATGAAATTCTTTTTGATTTTTTTTTTTTTTTTGTAATTTTAATTCAGAAGTATAAAAAATCCTTACCCTTTTGTTACACCTGCTTCAGTTTTAGGATAGTATTCATTAACAATAGTTCCCATTTTGGAAAAAATTTTATTAATGACACCTATAAGTTTTTCAAATCGATCTGGCCCCACTTGTGGAATGCCATCCACCACAATAACAGATTCGACTCCATCTGTTTCAGTAGGTTTATTCTTCAGAAAATCACCTAATAACTCTGAAATACAAAATATATATTTAATTTATGATGATCTGTACATTAAATAAACATATATATAGTGATTGTAAATTTAAAATACAAATCTGCAAATTCAAAAAATTTCACTCGAAAAAAATATTAAATATAAAATTTTTATAATTACAAATACATATTAAAGTTTAAAAAAATAAAATAATTAAATAAACAATGAAACGTTATCTAAAAATGAAAATATTTAAATATGAGTTTACGTCACTAACAAATAAATGCACGCACAAATATATTTAAATCAAAGGCAATTAATTTAAAATAAAAATTAACTTGAAAACTAAATGAAAACATGAACTAGTATAAAAATACTTTTATTTTTAAATAAATTTCTAAGAGAAAAGTCAATCTCGTAAATGATTTACATCAAAATAAAAAAATTTTTAATAAAATACTTAAAAATGAAGCTGCCATATGCAAAAAAAAAAAATCGGTGACAAAAATTAAAAAAAAATAAAAAATACCTTCGTCAGTAATGTCGTCAACAAATCCCTCGGGATCACTAAAATTGGATTCGTCATT